AGGGGCTGGCGGGGGCTGGCGGGACGTGGCAGGTTGGCGGGGCCTTGAGGCGAGGCCTGAGGTGTCTCCAGGCCCTGCTGGCCTCGGAAGGCAGGTGGGGACCCAGCCCAGGACGAGGGGTGTGTGCCGCCCTCTCCACGCCCCGACGCTGGTGAGAGAGGGCGGGGCACAGGCGGAGGGGCGCTGGGGCCGGACCCCAGGCCTGGGCCGCGGGCAGCTGGCCACTCACGCGGCTGAGTCAGTGACAGTAAGCAGCCATACTGGCCAACAAATGTTTTCTGTTAGAAAAAAAGGCAGGCAGCCACCAGCAGGGGAAAAGCTTGTTAGGGAAACCAACTCTCCAGAGAGCCGCTGAGCCCACTAATCACAGGCCACCCTGCTCCACACCTGGGGCCCCATTAGCAGAACCTGGAGCCCCCTGGGGCTGGGGGACAAAGCCAGAGTCTGGGAGGAGACACAGAGCCCAGCCCAAGACCCACAAGCTCTCTCACACACACATCTCAAGGGCGCAGAAGGCAGACACGCAGAGGCAGAGAAAACGCGCACAATGCCCACTGCCAGACGCACACCCGGACACACAGACCCAGGCAGGGCAGGCTCATCAGGGAGCCTGCAGGAGTGAGAAGGGAGACTGAAGGCTCCCAAGACCCCAGGGACAGGGCAGGCCGCCTGCTGCCTTCTGCCTGGGCCCCTGACCACCTCCGGGCCGCCTGGCTGCCTGTCGCCCTTCTGAGAAATGGGCATCTCCCCTCGTGACCCAGGCCGGCTTGCTCTGTCACTGCCTCCCCCGCCCCCCCTCTGAGAGCCTCGGGTTCCTGCTCTGGAAAACGGAGCACCGCTGGGGGACCTGGGGGATGGAGGCACACGCCTGATGTGGGTCCCCTCCCTCCCAAGCTCCTGTCCTGCAGAAGGAACAAGGCTGATCTGAGCTGTGTCTCCCCCAGCCTGACCCAGTGCCACAGCTGTTCCCTCAGGCACAGCTGCAGCCCTGACCCAGAGCTCCCCCAAGAGTGACCTCACAAAACACCTCCTCCTCCGGGGGCCCCACGTGCTTCTGCCCTCAGCTCCCTAAAAGCGTGGCCCAGCCCCAAAGGGTGCTGACACCCGGTGTGGCCCTGACCTCCCCCCAGCAGCCACGCGGGCCACCCTGCTCCAGGCTCCAGGAGGCTGACCCCTCCTGGCCACCAGCCTTGTCACTCGCCCTCTGCTTTCCTGGACCCAAGGCCACACCCACCCACCCCACGGTCTTGGCAGGGTTTCCCCTCAGCAGAGCCGACCTCCAGCCCTGGAACCAGGGGCCTCAGTTGCCCAGGCTTCTGAAAGCACAGCCTGAAAGGTGGGCACACATGCATGCTCCAAGACATTTACGGCCTTACTGCCGTTAGAAACCGCCTGGAGCCTGCCCGCAGCAGAAGGGGCGACCCAGCAAAACCAGTGGTGATCGTCATGATCACGCTCAGGGACCCAAAATGCTTCTGATATCTGACGTTGGATTTACAACCTCAAAATGCAAAAGTATGTGTACAAATCTGTGAAAGATGAATAGGGAACACGCTAGACAAAACATGCTGAAATCCCCCAGCGATCCCGTCTTGACTGGGGAAGCTCACCTCCAGGCCTCCTCATACATTACACATTCCCGTGACAAGCAAGCACACTTCCATGGATCATAACGTGAAAGCAGCCGCGATGGAGGCTGCCCAGGCCAGGAGCCATGAGGCTTCTCAGGGGAGGGCAACCAGGTCCCAGCACACAGAGCTTTCCTCCTGGGGCCATCAGCCCAGTCTGGGTCCTCAGGGACACAGGGCCTGGGCAACCCCACCAGTGGGCATGTGCAGAGCACGCACCAGCCAGGTGAGCTCAGAAGCAGTCTGAGAGCAAAGCCCCTCGTATGGGAGGGAAACAGTACCAATGACCAAAACGTGGGCTCAAATCCACAGCCCGGAGTAAAGGCCTCACTGCTGCTTCCTGGGCCACAGGGCTTCCAGGGCCTGTCCTGGCCTTGGAGCTGCACCAAAGCAAGCTTGCCTGGACTCAGGAAAGGAGAGGATGGAAAGGGGAAGGGCATGCCTCCCTGGGGAGTGTGCACAATGTGAGCTGTGTGTGGGCATGGGTGCAGAAGGATGGCCTATGGCCTGTCCCAAGGCTAACCACCAGTCACTCCTCCCCCAAAGCCATCTTGAGAGCTGCCCAGTCTGGGCTATCCCAGTCCAGCATGGCTCACTTCTGCCACTGGCCTGTCTCTGGCCAGGCGGTTGAAGGAGCAGGTAGGGAAGTGGAGCCAGTGACCCAGAGTCCCCTGGTGGCCAGTGTCCATGGAGCCCCACCCTGAGCCAGCCAATGACCTGTGTCCAGGTCTCCCGCTCCAAGCTCTGCCTGTGGCGGGGCAGGGCAACACTGCGTGCTGAACCGCTGCCCAGCTGGCATCTGAGCCTTGGGCCGGCTCTGAGGAGAGGCTCAGCACCACGCGGTGAGTGTCCTCAGACACCGGCTGCTCTACACTAGACATGGCACTCTCCAGTCCTGCCTCCTTCCTAGGCAGACAACCCTGGGTGTGAGGACACATACGCAGGTCTGTGTGGAGCCGAGGTGCTGGGCTCAGAGCCTTGCCCCGCCCCCCGCCCAGCCTCCCACTGGTAACAGCCCACAAGGGACTTGAACAAGAGCCCCTCTCACGGTGACCCTACAATCCTGCAGGCAGTGTCCTCCCCGCGGTTTAGGAGTCACGAGCAGGGCACCCTGCAGGCGCCCACAACCCACAAACACGGCCCAGGAGAGGAGAGGGTTGGGTGCGTGTGGATCTAGATGAGCTGCACCCACAGGGGGGCCGTGGGAGCCCCTGGGCACGCGTTGGCTGGCCTCGTCCCTTTGTCCCTTCCTCCCTTCTCTGCCGGCTGGAACTCACACGGCCACTGTTCTGGCCCGCGAGCCCCGTGACGAGGCGGCAGAGCAAGAAGACGGAGGACCCGCCCTCCACCACCGGCGCTCCAGGAGGAACCACAGGCTCCGACAGTCTCGGAGGTGCCACCAGCGCCACACCGCTCACCCCCAACCGTGCTACGTGAGAGAGAAATGACTCTGTCATCCAGTCCAATCTTCTGGGTTTCCAGCCACTCTGGCCCAACTGCGGCCCTGTGCTCCATACTCCATTTCTCCACTTCAAGTGCCTCCCAGCTCCCCTTTCCTGGGCTCCCTGCACCCTCCCCTCTGGGCAGAATGGCTTCACCAGGACGTGGTTGGGCAGGTCACTCCTACCCAACACCCTCCGCCCTCACGAAGGTTCCAGGCCCCTGGGGGTCCGTTCCCAGCTGCTGCTCAGGCCTCCGTGGTCAGGCCCCACCTGCCACAACAGTCTTTGACAGGCTGTGTCCTCTGCTGCCGACACCCTTCCACTGGGGCTTGTCAGCTAAAGGCCACCTCACGGTCCACGGCCAGCTCGGTGTCTCCTCTCGGGCTGCTCACACCCACGTCAGCAGACATATAAACACATTCCCCAGACACTCACCTCCCACCTCGACCCCAGACCAAACGCGGAGCCGCTGCTGGAGTCCCGGAGGTCCCAAGCAAGGGTGCCTGGCTGGGCCCTGCTGCATCCAAAAATTGGGCCCAGCCAAAACCCACCAGGAGGGCTGCCTGGCCACCCAGGGAGGCCTTACCTTGGCTGGTGGCTTCGTCCCCTCCCAGCTCCGTGCATCCATGGATGGGGGGACCTGGTAGATGTCGTGTCCTATCCCAGCGGAAGGCGGCACCTGGTAGATGTCCTGGGCAGGGCTGCCAGGCCCCGGGGGCACCTGGTAAAGGTCTGGCGCTGGGCTGGGAAACGGGTGATGGGGCATCTGCTTGGAGAATGTGGCTGTCTGCTTGGCCGGGGGAGACTGGAACTGGGGGCTGGGCCCAGGGGCTTGGTAGAGGCCTTGCTGAGTCTTGCTGGGGGTAGGCACCAGGTAGACACTGTCCGGCTGGGGCTGGTACGTGGCAGGCAGCATGGGTGTGTACTGGGCTGCCGGGGGGTGGAGGCTGGGCTGAGGCAGGGCCGAGCTGGCGGGTGGGCCGGGGCCGGGCCCCACGGGCTTCTTGTCATGCATGCCCACCAGGATCTTGAGGCGGTTCCCGGGCACGATGCCTTGGCGCCCGTGCAGCGAGCAGAGCCACCAGCCATCTAGGCCCTGCGTGTCCCGCTCCAGCACCGTCATGATGTCGCCCTTGCGGAAGGAGAGCTCATCTGGGGACTCGGCCACATTGTCGTAGAGGGCTTTGGCCAGCACGTTCTGGGGGAAGAGGACAAGGGTGGGCGTGAGGGCAGGAGGACGTGCGCTGGGGGCTCAGCATCCCGCCCAGCTCCCACCCCCTCCAGGACTGGGGAGGCACCTGGCCTTGGCACCGAGAAAGGAACTAAGTAGGGTTTGGCGAGATCCCCGCGCCTCTGCCCCCGCTGCCCCTGGCAAAAAGGCCCAGCTGATCCCGGCAGTTTTTCAAATGAGCCTGGATAGCGTCTCAAAATCCTCTTGACCACAGCCATCACCTGCACTCCAGGATGGTACTCAAGATACTCTAAAAAATACTCCCGGAGTCACGCTATAAGCTGGACCTAACGCTGGGGCAGGCAGCGATAATGACAATAATGGCCACCACGTCCTGGGGAGAAAACAGGATGCACACCCTCCCAGCTTCAACTCAACTCCCTGCTGCCCCGCCAGTGCAGTCAGCCAGGAGGAAAAGACCAGAGAGTGGGGAGGGGACACACAGGGACAGAACAGTCAGCACCTGCAGGCCATATGCCATCTACATACAGACTCCAACAGACGAGAAGCATCAACCGTGCTGAGGAGGGAACCGCACAGACTCCAACAGACGAGAAGCATCAACCGTGCTGAGGAGGGAACCGCACAGAAAAGACACCACCAGATAACAGAAACTACAAGTTATCCAGGAGTTAATGAAGCAAAGACTCCAGAGGAGAAAATGTAACAACTGGGCCAAGCTTACTTAATAAGTTACAACTGCAATAAAAATGCCAGCCGAACTTCTTTTTTTTTTTTTTTTTTGGAGGAATTCAACCAAAGGAAAAAAATCCTTCTAGAATTAAGCAGAGGAATAGAGGTCCACAAATAAGCAGGTCAATTCTGAAAATGAAATGCCAAGAGGCACTTCCTTCCTGCCGTGAGGACAGGCCACAACTCCAATCCCTAAGCAGGACAGGCAGCAGCGGCTGGGAACCACGCGGCGATGATGGGGGCAGGACTGTAACCGAGATGCTACCAGGAAAACTCACTCACCATAGGAAGAAAAGTCAATTTGGACACTTTGCCTCATGTTATAAACAAAGGGCAATCAAACACCTACATGTGAAAGTTATAACCTTAGAGCTGATAAAAGAAAAGAATTGTGGGAGAATATCTCTGTGACCTTGAGGTGGAAAAAAATTATAAACAAAACCCTAGAAAAAAAGACCACAAAAAGCACAAAACATAAGGTAACAACAACAGAAACAAAGAGATGGATTCAATCTCATCAAAGTGAATGGTTTCAGTTGGGTGGGGGAACAACAGAAAGCTGACAGGGTGACAGGCCACCAAATGACAAGAGTCACTGATCTAGAATCTGGAGGTTCTCCTACAAACAAGCGAGGAAAAAACAAGAACACCAACAGAAAACCAATAAAATATGAAGAGTTTTCTGAAGGGGAGACCAGAATGGCCAAGATGGCCACAAAGGACGTTCAGGGATCCAGCCAGCAAAGCGGGACAGACCTGCGACTCTGCTCTGTGCTCCAGCAGGTGCCCAGGTGTCTGGTGAGGAACACCAGCCACACCCTCCCGAGTCAGAGGAACAAACAGGAGATCTACAGCCCAGAACGCTTTACGTAAATGTTACGAATACCTACAAAAGAACTCTATGTATTTTTCACAGACACTTGTCCAAGGGCAGATTCCAGACACATTACATTTGCATGGGTGCTTCTGGAAGAGGGACGGGAATGAGACAGGCATCAGGAATAAATGGGGAGAATAAAGCAAAACAAGGAAGCAGTCCCATACAGACTGAGGACGGCCACAGAAGGACAGCACCCCACGCCCAGCCCCGCTCTTTACTCCTGTAATTCTCCTGTTAATTCTCACAGGCACCCCAGAACCGCTGCTATGGGTTCCATGAGTCGGCAAACCCTCCTGGAGCCGGGACACACGCTCCGTGCAGAGGCCCAGTAGCCCAGCAGCCTGTGCAGGCCTTGGCGAGGCTGTGGGGACAGACAGGAGGACCCCAGCATTGGCAGGCACTGTGCCGGCAGGCCCAGAACCTCACCGGGGACAGAGAACCGGGTGGACAGGCCCCACATTTTCAGTCCTTGGCCTCTGCTGCTTGCGCGGGTGAGGGCTCAGGCTGGGCCCAGAGATAGCACAGGGGGGCCCCAGCCAGAGGGCCAAGGTCAGTCCAGCAGAGGGCAGGAGCAAAGCAGGTGCCTGGGTGGGAAGGCCAGGCCTGTGGAGAGGACAGTGCCAGGCCAGCTGGGCACCGGCCCCACCAGCCCGGCCTCAGCTCTGGTTGCCCTCCTCTGAGTCTCCTGGGGACTGAAGATGCAGAGCCTGGTCTAGATCTGACTCGGAAATGGGACCTGGGTTCGGACCACCCTTCCCCACGTGGGCCTGGGTCTCATCCCCTGGATTCCAACTTGGGGCAGAGAGAAGTCGGGGTGAGGCCTCACCCAAGTCTAGGAGGGCCCACCTCCACACTAGCATCAGGAGCCGGAAGGAGCCCCTCTGAGCTCCGTCTCCCCTGCCCATCACAGTGAGGATTAGGGAAGAGGACGGAACACCATCAAGGGGGACGGCAGCCCACGGGGGAAGCCGGGGCAGGCAGTGCGTGCTCCAGGCCCAGGACTGCACGCTCAGACTCGGGGGCGCAATGGCGGGAAGCCCACTCCTCCAGGGCAGCTCAGAAGGACCCAGAGGCCAGAAAGCTGGGAGCCAGGAGGGACAAGGCCCAGGGGAGAAGCCAGCCCAGGCAGGCAGCGCACAGAGAGCAGAGCAAGCGAATTCACCCTGCACCAAGGTGAGCGCCAGGGCAAGGGCCCTCAGAACTACTGGCGGCGCCAACACTGTCCACACCACAGTCAGGACGGTTATCACTGCACTGAGGCATAAATGAGTCCTCAATAAAATGTCACTTGAACTTAACAACTGGGGAGAGGGTAATGTTTGAGACAATGGGGGATGCTTTTTCTTCCTGCTTCTCAGAAATTTTCAATTTGTATTTAATGAGCATTTCTTGGTTTGGGGGTTGAAAAAATATACACCCTGAAAAAGAAAACAGTGGACTACCTCCTAGGCTCCAAGGCAGGATGGGACGGACAAGGCCGAAGCAGGTCAGAGGCCAAAGCCCCAGAAGGAACAGATGGGGCGGGGGCTGCCCTGCTGCCCACTGGACTCATGGGTCCCATCCCCAGGCTGCCTGCAGGAAAAGCAAGTTTCCCAAATATGGTCTGCAGCCTGCTCAGGGAATCACACCCCGTCAGGGGGGCGGGACACCCAACCCACCCTCCCCCAATGACCCCAGAACACAGAGCCACCCCTCTGGGTCCCCTCAGCCCCTGCCCTGGTGACCACAGGAAGTGCCAGCAGAGTGAGTCACAGGAAAATTCCCCTCCAGCCCAGTCAAAGGGGGCAGGGTGCAGACAGAGGGGAATGCCCTTCAGAGGCCCCTCACCTCTTAGAGGAGGGCAGCCCAGGGAAGGCTGGCAGAGGGGCTTCGGCCAGGCCCTGCTGGGCAGGGCTGGGCTCTCAGGGAGGCTGGAGAGCTCTGCCAAGGGCAAGGTCCAGCGGGAGGGGGAAGGGGGTGGAGGGAGGGTCCCCTGGACCCAGGAGAGCTGCCCAGGGAGCTACCAGGGCCTCTCGTGCCCAGGGTGGCCAGCTCTCACCTCCTGGGTATAAGCTCGATGAGCAGTCAAGGCCAATTCCAACTGCAACTGTATAGTCCGGGGAGGCCGGAGCCAGGCTGGGAAGCACCTCTCAGGGTGGGCACGTGGCACCAGGCGCCTGGCACCAGGAGCTCCTCTGCCTGCGTCAGCTGGTGCCCCCCTCCCCCCGCCGAGCCCCCAAGGCAGGCGCTCCACAGTCCTGGGCACTGCTGGCGCCGCAGCGCTCCAGCTGGCCAAGCACCCGCCCCTTTGGGCCCCTAAGCCTCTCCAGCTGCTCCTGACACACTTCTCCCTCCAGTGCTGAGCAGCAGCTAAGACCAGACCTGGGCCTGGCTCTCCCTCCCACTGCTGGGGACCTTGGGCAAGTCCCTTAGCCTCTCTGAGCACCCAGATCCCTTGTGTTAAGGTGACAATCCTGGTTTCATAGGGAAGTTCTTTTGTTTAATAAAAGATTCACCTGGCATCTGCCCTCTGCCAGGTGCTGGGCCAGGCCCTGCAAGACGGTGCAAGCCTAGGTCGACCAGGCCCTTGTCTGCACGGGGCTTGCATCCCAGCAGGGCAGGCAGACACAAAACGATTTGCCAGGGCAGGGGGAGATGTGGCATGTGCAACAGGGCCACTACACATAGGACAGTCAGAGGTGGCCTCCCCCAAGGAGGACACTTCAGATGACTCATGAAGACCGAAAACTAGGCGACCATGAAACCAGCCAGGGAAGGGCATGTGGGCAGAGCGCAGGCATGAGCCAAGACACTGAAATAGGGAAAGGCTGGAGGGGAGACAGGACTGTGGCCCTGGACCGGCAGGCAGGCTGGGCCGGTCACACTGCAGGGTGCCTTGGGATGCTGCAGGGAGAGCTCAGTCCATGTCGTCCAAATGGTGGCATCCCATGGCAGAATAAGGCAAAACCCACACCACCTGAGCATTCCTGCTCTGGACATGCTCCCCAGGACCCAGTGTCTTGTCCCAGCTTGGAAGAGCGGGGTCAGTCTACCTAGAACCTGGCTTTCCAGCCTTCCTCACTGTTGGGCCCATCAAGTGCTTCCCCCAAGCTCACAAGAGGACACAGCTGTGACCTCTGGGAGGGGCACACCACCAGGGCACCATCGCAGTCCAGGCCAACTCTGCCAGCCACCTGGCTCCAAGGCACCACGGAGACTGCTGCTGACTCGCCCGAGTCTCTAGCCGCCTCACCCGCGACCCTAGGAAACCTCTCGCTGTGTCCTACTCCTCCTTCAGGACGTGACTTGGGTGTCACCCCCCCACCCCGCCAAGAAAGCTCCCACATCCCTCCCCGGGCACCCACACCTCACTGTCCCCACCTCGAAGTGCTGATCAACAGCTCTTATTACTGCC